TACTTTTCTAGATACTTTTAAATTCTTCATAAGGGTTCGTTTCATTCCAGGGAGTTGGAGTAATTGAGACCAAGTAATTCCAGCTTCCTGTTTTTGCATTTGTTCAGCAATGTCAAATTCTTTTGTGCGCAGTAATCGGGGTACTTCCTTCTTTTCAGGTTTAGTAGATTTCTTTCTTTCAGAAGGTAATTTCTTTTTACTTCTTTTGGTAGGTTTAGTTTTATTTTCAGTTTTGAATTCCTCCTTTCGGAATGGAATTCCAAAAGTATTAACCTCAGGGATTTTAAAGTAATCACCTGTTCGAGGTTTCTTTGTTTCCTCGTCAGTACTATCCTCATCTCGTTCACGTTTTCCCAAATAAGCTTCTAAAAGTTGATTTAATAACTCTTCCTCTCCACTGTCAAGTTCATTATCAGTTACCTCAGCATATCGGACAGCAGCATTTCGTCCGTTATTATTATTATTATTATTATTATTATTATTGTTACGTCTATTGTTATGATTATTATTGTTATTGTAATTATTATTCTGGTTATTATTATTTTGAGAACAATTGCGTGAAATATGTCCTTCTTGTCCACAATTGTAACAAACAGGTGGTCGGTAATTTTGGGAGGAATTATTATTATAATTTTGATTATTATTATTAAAAGGACGTTCGTTATTATATGATTGGTTTCGGGGTTGGAAGTTTCGGTTGTTATTATTACTTCTCTGGTTTACTTGTTTTGTTAACAAGTCAATTTTTTGTGCCAAATTGATTTGAAGCTTTTCAAACTTTTGAACCAAATCATCCAAGTCTCCTTTTTCCGTTAGCTTCTTTTTCTTAGTCTCTTTTCGTCGAGGTTTTTCTTCTTCAGATTCTGACTCAAGTTCTTTTTGCGACCTTCGAGGTTCTTTTCGTTTCACTACATCTTCACCTGCTTCATACTTTCGAATAAGGTCCACTGCAGTTGCGACATCAGCAGGATCATTCATCATAATTATTGGTGCAAGCTCAGGTCGTAAGCCTTTCACAAAATAACGCATTTGATCAGCAGCTGGCATTTCAGCTATTTTATTAATTTTTCTGATAAGTCGCCTATGAGCAGCATAGTAAGTGTCAATGGCTTCGTCACTGTTTTGTCGTAGTTCCTCTAATTCTCGATGCCATTTGTTAATCCATCGGAAAGTACAAAAGAATTCCTTAAAGGCTTGAAGCCATTCGGCCCAAGTGGTAGCAGTTGTCGTTTCACACCATTCCTCTGCATCATCTCGTAAATGCGCTTTTAGCATAGTGACTTTTCGATTATTATCCCAATCATTTATTCGAGCGGCTTTTTCAAAATCCTCCATCCACTTTAAGGGGTCTTGTAATCCATCACCATAGAAAGGTTCTACTCGAACTGTAGTACCTCCTAAGTTTCGTTGTAGGTAAGTTAATATATGTTGATTGGTAGTCATGTTGTTATTATCGTCTTGGTTGTAGTTATAATCGTTGTGATAATAAGTGGAAGAATTATTATCGTTATCAAAGTTATAAATATTGTAATCAATGTCGTTGTTATCAACTGGTTCGA